TCCATCCATTCTGGCAGCGAAATAAATTCTAGGATTACTGTATTTCGTTAATCCTAGGGGATGGAATTATCGTATTTTGTATTCTGTTTATCCCGGTTATGGGATACATTCCAGGATTACTGTGTATGTTTTAGCGAATGCTATTATCCTTAGCTTATTGTATATGGATTCCAGAGTTACTGTATGTATATGTATACTAGGGAAGATAAATTGCTCCTGAACTACATGGTTCGATCTGTTAATATTGCTTATAGGTATTGCAGCATGCATTATGCATTATTAACATGCATACAACATGTAATGCTTACTTTATGCATAAGCATAATATTTTCCGTGATTACCGTATACATTCTATGTTTTAGCATGAATAATGCACATATGTATATATATATATATATATATATTATATATATGTGCTTACAATATTTTGCTAAACATTGTATGGACATGCACCCAGGTAATTCAGATTAGCCGCAAATTTTCTGTTTTTAGCAAGTAGTACTGTAATGGCTACAAATTTAATACTGAAAATTTAAAATTTAAAAAAATTCGAAAATGTGATATCTTTTTGATTTTATCATATTTGTAATTACTGTTTACTATTTGAATCATTCTTCAAATGATGAAATAAATATTTATTATTTTCTCTCTTACAAAAGATCAATTAATGCCACCTATCTATCTTATTCATTCACTTTAATACTTTACTTGTTCTTTCTCGTATATTTATGATCAAATTATAATCTAAACATTTCTTTTTTCTTTTTTTATGCAAAGAAAAGGAAAGGAAGAAATTAGCAATTATGCAAATTTTTTTGAAAATTGAAATCTGTTCTATTGAATTCACTGAAGAAAAGAGAATGATGGAAATGATGATGTTGGATTGAATGAACGTATGAAGGATTGGATGGAAAAGAACAGTTAGGTCAAGGAATAAAATATGGTGGTGTAAAACTTTAATCCTTCAACCCAGTAAAATTATCCAGAAAGTAAATTTGACCATGCAAAAAACATCCAGAGCTGTTCAGAAAATAGGCTTGACCATGAAAAACTGTCCAGAGCTATCCAGAAAGTAGGCTTGACCATGAAAAACTGTCCAGAGTTGTTCAGAAAATAGGCTTAACCATGAAAAATTGTTCAGAGCTGATCCTATTTGAGGTTGTCAAATATCACAGAAATTCTAATCCTTTTCCATGGCATTTTCCATTGGTGAATTTTTTTTTTCTGTCATAATTAATTTCATTGCTACCAGACTTGTTAACTTACTTCATTCTAGCTGATAAATATTACCGAGGTATTTTAAGTTAAACAAAGGCGATCAACAACTTTACCTGCACGAACAAATTCAGCAATTTTACCTGCACGAACAAATTCAGCAACTTTATCTGCACGAACAAATTCAGCAATTTTATCTGCACGAACAAATTCAGCAACTTTATCCGCACGACCAAAATCCGCTGCTGTGAATGTAACAATAATTGCTAATCATTCATAAAAAAATTTTTGCATTTCTAACAAAAAAAAAAAGTGTATTCCTAAATTTGCATAAATTTATCATACATTTGCATAAATTTATTGTACATTCTATTAATTTGTATAAATTTGTTTCCGATAAAAATATCCATAGCATTTCGTAAATTAAATAATATACATTACCAATTTGGGCAAATATTTTAAATTATTGTTACGACAAATATTCCATATTGTAATTAATTGCTCAGATAATTTAACACTACTGTTATCATCATACTGTAATTAATTGTTCAGATAATTAAATCCTATTGTTACTATAATATTGTAATTAATTGTTCAAATAATTTAATGATTCGAATTTCAATCATAGAAAAATATTGTACAAATAAACAGATACTACTTCATTTCTTTCGCTTATATATTCAAAAAATGATGATAATTCAGGAAATGCTTCATTTATGATGATGCAAATTCGGAATTCGGAAATTTCCGGATAACATTTTATAAACTATTGATGTAATTTCTCTTAGATTATAAAAATCAAACAAACAAAAAAAAAAAGGTATTCAAATGAATCATCAAATATTTTGTTATTTGATTAAATCCTTATATTAATATATATATTACAGTTATTTATAGTAATAAATCTATTAAATCCTAATAATTCAAAGATTGGCTGCCAAACTAATCTTCGATAATATTAGAATTGCAATATTCATCAGATAATATTTCAGTATATTCCCTCACTTTTCTATCATCCAAAACTGTTGTTTGAACATTAATTACTATTAAGCATTACCGTGATTTTTTTTAATTGTTCTTTTTTCTTCCGTTAATTGTTTCTAATTATCTTTAGTTTTACTATCATCCTTTTCCTATCATTATATTACCACCAAAAAAAAGAAAAAAAAATTAACAATTATTACTGTCATCATGCAATACCAATTTATTCGTCTTTTTTTTTTTTTTTAGAAATCTTATTGATATCTTTATCATGATATTTGAGTGACACTAATAATATCTATTAATAATTTATAGAAAGCAAATCAAATATTATATTATAATATAGATTAAATATATAAATGCATGGTATTTCATCAACAAAATCTCCCAATGTAAATACAGTCCTATTTTATAATTGAAATTCAGATTAATATACTAATCGTTACAGTTTATTTTACCAAGAAAAAGAAAAAAGAAAAATGACCGAAGACAAATGATTGTCAAATATTAAAAGAATCTATAAGTTTTTTCAAATAAAATAAAAATCAAGTCAAGTAGGTGCGAGGATAAAAACTAGACTAATTTACTGGAACGGAAAAAATTAAGCAGATATATACATTAATGAATGAAATTAAGAAATCAGAGAGATGAGGTAGTTCCTTCAAATTTGAAGCAATCTTTCATCATAGGAAACACCTAGATATTGTTAGTTTAGTACATTTATGTTCCGTTCATTTTATCAAAAAGTATCAGATCAGAAAAAAAAAATTCATAAATCATTGTCATCCATCCATCTTTAATGGTAATGAATACATTTCATCCTTCTTTTCAGTCTGAGATCAGTTTATTAATCCAGCCAATATCCTATCTACAATGCCATTAAAAAAAATGTCTTGCATATTTCATTTCTGTCGCTATCACCGCCGATTCCTCTCTGTATATTCCGGTACACTGTTAACTTTTACACACTACTCATCTCCTTTCCAAATTCACGACTGAAAGGGTTGAAGTTAGATATCATGCATATGTCTGGAAAAGGAACGATTTAAAAAATCGTTACGCAAACAGTTTATTTTTAGACGATATCGGTGAACAAAAAACTGAAGACAAAATTTAATTAGAGAAAAAAGGAAATGCGACGTTAGACCCTGAGGTTAAATGTTTGAAAACTTTTGCAATAAAAAGGGAAACCTTAGACTCTAAGTCACAGTGACAAAAATATTCAATTTTTCCTGACTCAAGAGAAAGTGAATGTGGAAGTAGGGTAAAGTTAAGACAACTATTAACTGATAAAGTTGCACAAAAAATTAGGCAGTAGCGGATCTTTTGGATTGCATAACTTCTTTTCGACTGGCGTCCTGCAACAATTGAGTATCCACTTGATCAGCAGGTAGTTGCACGTATCGTACCACAGATCCACGAATGAAGCAGTTTTTGACGGAAAGCATATGCGGATATCGTTCCGAATCAGTCACTGAGATATCTGTCAGTTTCATGTTTAAGTACTGATCCACCGAATGCAACGTACCGCAGATACTAGAATATATCATATTATCATTATCTTTCAGTCAACTCAACAAGAATGTAACAACATTACACTAATTTCCCATTTTATCCCTGCTCTGCAGTTTTGGTGGAAACACAAAAAAAGTTTCTGTTCAATTCGTACCATTTCCACAAGCTATTTGCTAATTTTAAGCCTTTAAACAGAACTAAACTAATTTATTACTTTAGAAAACCGAAAGTAACGAAAACTAAAACAAAATATAATTCAAATAATTCAATATAATTCAATGTCAAGCTAACTCACCTCAGGTCGTTTTTCAATTCCACTACCACATCTTTCCCAACCAGTGATTTGAAGAATGAATAAAATAGCTGCAAAATGACATCAGAATTATGGAACTTAACGCCAATCTCGTTATGTATTTTCTCAAATGCAAAGACTAATCTCTTATCACATAAGATTGCAAAAAACATTTTTTATTTTTCTCCTCTCCTTCCATTATTCAAAAACAAAAAAAGGAAAAAAAAACTTAACCATCCCAACGAACAATCCAGTACTAACGCATGCCAAACAAAAAAAAGATAACCCTGAAATCGCACTAACATTTATGATAAACCTTTTAGTTTGTGATAACAACAACGAAACAATTCAATTGTTTTAAAATTCCCTATCGAACAAACTTGTGAAAGATTATATTCCTTCTTCCTCTCTATACTTTATTTCTATCTCAAATCATATAGAGTAGGATCTCCAAATACTACAGTTTGTTCATTACCCCAGGATAATCAACCCTTCAAAATCTACAAATATTGCTAAGGGTTAACACAGCTTTTATTAATTCATTGTTCATTTACTAAATGGTTTAATTCATGCTCTTTCAAAGTTTAAGAAAAAGGGTTGAGAGAGCCGAAAAATTTTAATTTTTACACTGCGGCCGAAAAGTTATCATCATCAGAAATATATGTCCAACAGATTCTTACTGAGCAAAACATCCCAAAAGAGTAAAGGTCAAACACTTCGTAATCATTTATTTAGCTTTTGCACCTGCAAACAGATGAATGCAAAATACTCCAGCAAATAAAAAAAAAAGCGAATAACAAAATAAGTTCGAATGAAAAAAGAAATTATCGGGAAACACTTAAAATGCAACAAAATGGGTAACAGCAACAAACAAGCTTCTGTGGTAAAGCAAAATGCGAGATTATAAGGCCCTTGCCAGTCCTAAAATTTTATTCTCCTCTCATCTGGCATTTATTCATGACATGACATAGTGACTGGCATTTCATTGAACATCACAATCAAACATGATGCATTCAGCACAAACCGCAAAAGAAGAAACCGTAGCTATACATTCTGAGATCGCTGAGGTTTCCACCAGGAATATTCAATGTAATAGGGTGATAAAGTGTCAGGTGAGACAATAGCTAGCAAGACATGCTTCTTTACTTGAGAGGAAAGCCTTGAGAGTGCAATAAGATCTAAGGATGATAAAGCATCTTGTGAATCCACACATTTCACTAGCCACTTGGAATGATCCTGGAAAAAGTATGACATTCAGAAAAAATATTTGAAAGTATTTGTCAGTTATAGAGAAGGAGTATTAGATAAAAGGCTCCTCAATGAATAAAAGGACAAAACATAAGGAGAACACAAATACAAATACTAACCTCACCAGGGATTGATTCATAAGCAAGATAATCACACCCAAACTTCAAACCACACGTTAAATAGTAGCCTCTACGCCACAAATCACGAAATGTGTTTAGCCGGATCCGGAAAACTGAACTTTTAGGAAACGGTGGTCTTTCCATTTCTTCATACGCTTCTTCGCGAGTATCATCTATAAATAATTTGCTCTGGTAAAAACCATCCAGCAAACCATCCAATTTTTTTGTCAAAAATTCATCGGCCATCATCGTTTTACATACTGGCTCAGTATAAACAAAACAGCTCGAGTCCTTTCTTAATTCAGTTTTCTTATTTTCACGCCAAGCAAACAAGCTAAATACTGTACATTGAAAACTATTAGCACAATAGCTAAAGCAGTACGTCCCAAAGGAAAAATTGCTGCTTTCAACAAATAACTTTAAGATTTCAAACTGTTAACTGTTCGCATTAGTACAGTCAGTCATACGACATACAGTCTTATGTGGAAGTACAAGACTTTTCTTCAGTGATATTTGGGAAAGACTGCTGTCATCAAGTAAGGGGAAGGTTATTGGACATAATCGAACTCAAAAAGTAATGATGAGGTAGTTAAAGAACTAAAGAACTCCTGGTATGCTATGTATTTTACAAATATACCGTCTTTAGTTCGAAATTAATGCTAAAGCAACTCACACAATGGAAGAAACCAAGTATCCTCCTGCTTAAGGGCATTGTCAGGTCTTGACAGCTCCTTCACTGCATCGTCTATTTCGGAAACTGTAACTTCCACATTGACAATATCACAACGTCGAATCTGAAACGTATTGTATGCATTGTTTACAAAGCTCCACTAACTAAGTCAGACTTATTTCAATACAATAAACAGAAACGAAAGGGATGCGAACAAAGCATGAAACTTATTCATTATAAGCAACAACATCCACACTTCAAAAAAAGAGGGAAGTTTTAAGAAACTTGGATGCTTGGATAAGCGATCATAGACCTTAATTCTTCATTACTGACATACCAAAATAAACAACTTTTGCTGCACAACTCAAAAGAAATCTTCACTCAACTGAGTGAAATCCTAATCATATTGTCATGAAAACACAACCTCAAGATTGGATGCTACTAGTCAAAACATATTAAAGACTTTAAGTATAAAAAATCCTGCAGATAATTCGACCCCGTATACCTCAAAATTGTACAAACGAAGCGATATTATATGTTAAATAGTTAGGGATAATTCATCAATTGTAAGAGGTAATTCATAATTCTTTGATTTGAATATGAACCGCAGCGAAAAAACTTGAAATATTCTGTGATGGAAATTAATGAAATGCTCCTGTAAGGAACAAGAAACAGAACGAACAAATAAACTTTGTCATATAAAGTATAATGAAGAGTGCCATATTCAACTCGACTTATGTAACTGTGATTGAAAAAGAAAAAAAACTTGTCCAGTACCTTTAGAGCTGCAGCTGTAGCTCCACTATTAGCCTGACGTTTTAGTTTCTTTGCTTTTCGACCTTTTGCTATCATCTCAGCCTTCTTCCTTAATGCTACATCGTCCAACTGTATGAAATGAGCTTTTGAAAGTTCGGCATCCTTTCTCTCAGTAGGAATATCTTCCGTATTACTCTTGAGTTGCACAACCTTTGCGAGCCCAAAAGACAACATTAATTAATGGTCAAAACAATATAAGTAGAAGAAGTCATTACATTATAAAGTTAGACGAGTTTTCATTCTGGAAAATTCTGGAAAGTCATTCTGGAATGTTGTCTAAAGTTAATTAGCAGTGTGTTTTTTCTTTTTTTTTCTGTTTGAGGAAGAGAACAGTACTATTTTCGATACAATTGAGGATGAGAAATATTACCGTATTCAATAAGTACAGCCACTTGTTCCGGCATTAAAACAAACGGAGCTCCATATTTCCGAAGATCAGCTCGTGCATCAGGAGAAGTACCATACGCTTCAACGATGATACGACATTCTCGCATCAACTGCTCCGCTACTTTAAAATTTACGCAAATTTTACGAAAATGATTTCAATCAATATTAAAACCAAAATTTTTGTAGGAAAATAAGCATTACAATATAACCTGTAATACTTTAGCATTTAGCTTAACATCTAAGTAGTTAATTTTCGCTACTGTTCCATCGCACTTTCTTTCTTATCACTAATGCAGATCTTCGGGAAGTGTTTATTTAATTCAAGCTATATCTTATGTGTGAAATGATAACCTTCTTTCGGGCACTTTTCATTTCACATATAAGCTTTACATATATTTATTTACTAACCATTAATATCAAATACGAGAAATTGTGAATTCAGATATTCGATTCGCGCAGGTACAAATTCCATCGAGACATCAATTTTCTCATCTTTCGATGTAGAACATGTGTCTGTCATTGAGATGATTACCGAATGATTATCCGTCGAACTTCCTTCTTCATCATTTTCACCTAAAAAAGATTTCATTTTAGATGTTCTAAATAGGATATTCACATCACCTTTTTTTTTCCTTTTATTTCTATTTCATTATTTACGAAATATTAAGTATTATGGCACTAAGTGATTTAGGAATACGTGTAAATATTACTATATGAGTGACGCATACACATATCGGGAAGACGTGAAGAAAATCAGGAAAAAATCTTAAATCAATTCGAATTTATACTTTAAACTCCTATAAGTACTCCTATAAGTTTGACTTACATATGTCACCTAAACGATTATGACACGTAAAACTGCCATTATCAAAATACATTTGAAGATATTACGCATAAAAGAGTATAAAGTATATAGAATGCATGGGGTTATTTTGAACTGGAATTATACGTAGTAAGGAACGTGAAAAAAGATGCCCAACGTACGTCACCCGTAAACTTCTGAAACTTTCGTCTTCGCCACACGTGCTGCATTAGCTCTCTTCAATTACCACAATCTCTAACATCTCTCTCTTCCCGACTCATTCCATCACAAACATTCGAACCTCCCGCGGTTAGAGAAATTTGACATGCGAGAAGGGACGAGTGCGGGGGTCCAGAATATTGATTCCTGGGTTATGGTGAGGGAAATGATAAGTTTGAACTATTGCAAAATTACTCATTACATCACAGGATAGCAATACCTGAAAATTAGAGGAATTAGTATCAAGAATTCTCGGTAGAATCAATACTTTTATCTGTTAATAAAGACAAGCAAAGTTAGACTTCTTCATTTAGCCTGTGAATGAAGAGTACATACTTTCCGAGAGATTCAAGTGTGGCAAGGTTTTAATACAGTGATCTTTTATGAATAATCTGACATGTTTTACTTAACTTCTTCAAATTACTCCCAAATTTATTCCTGCAGGGGAAATTAGTTGGTGGAGAAAATCTTTGGTCTTCGTTTGTGTAATTGAAAGAAAGGTTTTTTGCTCTTATTTTTATTTTTATTATAGTGATGTTTTTTCCTTTTCTTTGTTTTTCTTGTAGTTTTTTGTTTTTTTCTTACATCGTTAAGTAAACAATTTTATTTTACATTCATAGGTTTTGTTCATAATATGGAATGGTAAAATGACAACATGGCGTTAAAACGACAACAAAAGTTATGGGATGAAAAAGAATTACGCTGCTGCTATCGTAATTCATATGGATAAATTTATCTAATAATGGAAACAGGGATATATCTAGGAGTGTCATCTGCACGAAACTTATCCATAAAACCGAATATGTCACCACTATATCTATGACTTTTACCAAAAAATGGAAAACGTTCATCTTATTACAATCATTCATGGCGTTCTTCTTCCTTTTAAACATAGAAC